ATTTGTAATATTACAAAGGTTCAAACTGCAGCATCCATTTGCAAATGTTCTGCCTCTCAAGGTACTTCATGATTTGCTCAGTTAGTGGCAAAGTTAGTACTAAAAAAACCTAGGGCAAACTGGAAACTTTCCAAAAACTTTTCAATTTATATTCTAAGCTTCCAAGAAAACTGCAAATTATTTCACAGAATGCAAAGTTAAATTTAAGCACAAGTCCATAAACAAAAAAAAATTAGTGTCCATAACTGGATTGCACCATGTGACTATCACAATGTTAAGAAAAACAGTGTACATAAGAATATTAAGTTGCCTTTTGAAACAGGCAAAATTAAATTTCAGTAGAGGGACAAGGAAATACTTTAAAGGATCTGAAAATGCCTTAAAATAAACAGATCTACAAATGGACAAACAAAACATTGCAGTGTTAAGTAACAAAAATTTTAGCTTGATTTGATTGAACTGATTTATAATTTGTTATTTTACGGCTCAAAGACCATTGCTTGAATACACTTGAACACAAATGAAAAGGCAGTATAGCACAAAGCATTTATGTAGTACATTTTGTACAAGTTGGCAAATGACCATATATAATTAAGAATGCAAGGCAGACAATGAAGATGAAGCTACTTATCAACATCTATCCAAGAAAGCAGTGCATACCTTTCTTCTACTTGCAACTTTAGCATATGTGCTTTAATGCTTATATACACTTTTTCAAAATCAGGTCTTGAACTCAAAGACAAAGGCATAAAAGTATTTGAAACAAATTTCTATAACACCATAGTAAAAGCTACGGTACGTTTCAGTTTACAGAAAATATACACCTACTTAACAGAATATTAGGTAAATATACAAGTTACATTCTGGACCCGGCTCAAGCATGGATAAACCAGGCACTCATACACCCTGAATTTTATCAACAGCAAAATAGCAGCCTTGACCTTAAAGACAGCTCCCTCTCCGATGTAGCAATATCTGTAGTGCTGGTTTTCCCTTTCCTTGTTTGAATTTTGTATTGTCAAGGTATTTCCAGCAATGATGTTATCAAGAAGGATAAGCAGCCAATCACATTCAAGTATCCTCAGGCTGTAAACCAAGAAGCACAATGCACTAATCATGTTTCAGAGATAGTAGGAACTGCAGATGCTGGAGAATCTGAGACAAGGTGTAGAGCTGGATGAACACAGCAGGCCAAGCAGCACGGCGGACATTTCGGGCCTAGACCCGAAACGTTGGCCTTCCTGCTCTGCTGGTGCTGCTTGGCCTGCTGTGTTCATCCAGCTCTATGCCTTGCTGTCTCATGCACTAATCATGCTTCACTTTTACTTGCAGTTTACAGAAACTGAAATAAATATTTGGGACGTAGGTTGAAGGTAGAACCTGAAACTTTTTAAAATAAAAAAAGTGTTGAATCTTCACAATGGAGAAGTCTGACATTCCACAAAGTTTTTCACAGCCATTGAAATTCTGTAGTAATCATACATTTACCACACCATGAAAAGAAAAACCTGGTTATCTCTCAAATCAACAAGAATTTGCATTTTCAATGATTCATTGTATGCAATGAAATTCACTGACAAATTCCCTTATTGCCATTCTCCCACCTTCTTGTAACTCTGCTTCCTCTTCCTGTTCCTCTTCAGAACTCTGGAAAGACCCCAATTCTTCTGGGTGTCTTGACTGAATCTGCCTCCACCACATGCACAGGTTATTGCAAATTTTAAGCTCTCAAACTGGGAGTGTGTTTCAGGACAATATCACTTAATCTTTAAATTTGTACTCTCTTGCTCTCAACTGGGAGCAATTTCTCCCACTTACCCTCATGATTTTCAAAACCTCTACCAAATTTCATTTCAGCCTTTTCTACAAAGGAAAACAATACTAACTTCAATTGATCTTCACAACTGTATTACTCTCCTGAATCTTTCCTGCACTCCCATCATCATCTTTACATTCTCCCAAAGTGCAGCAGCCTAAGCAGGATGCAATATTGCAAACTGTAAAGTATTGTAAAGAATTGAAAAGTAAACCCTATAGAGAAATGCAGAATCACAATCTCTGGATTTCCTGTTATCCTGCACATGTACAGACTCCTGAATTGTTGAGAATTTCAGAGAAATGATGACAGAACACTGACAGATTCAGTCATTAGCACCACAAAATCTGGACTGGTGTGCATAAACAAATACTTAAGAAAATTTCTACTTTCAACACAGTAATATCTGTAAGTGGCACAGTGGTTAGCACTGCAGCCTCACAGCGTCAGGGACCTAGGTTTGATTCCACCCTTGGGTGACTGTATGTGGAATTTGCACATTCTCCATGTCTGTTTCCTCTGGATGCTCCAGTTTCTTGCCACAGTCCAAACACTTGCGGGTTAGGTGGATTGGTCATGCTAAATTGCCAATAGTGCCCAGGGATGTGGCTTAGCCATGGGGAATGCAGGGTTACCAGCAGAGTAAGGGTGCCTCTGGGGTGCAATGCTCTTCAAAGGGTCAGCATGGACTCGATGGACCGAATGGCCTGCTTCCACACCGTAGGGATTTTATGAATATCAGTTGAGAGATTAAAACACATTTTTCCCTTTGTTCAACATCAAGTCCTCTCAGATCAGGTACTAGTTTACACACTAAAGTTCCAAAAAATATTATGAAACGTACTTAGTAACATAATAAACACTTCATGATTGGTGAAACTATTCCAAACTAGCCATTCTAATAACCTTAGCCATGTTAGCACAGTAACTTTTATCCCAGGATCTTCTGTCCACTGAAATAGGATAAGGACGCTGAATTCTACACTAATAACTTTTACAACCTAAAACTTCAGATAGAAATTTAGACTGAAATGAAGCAATGGTCTGTACATGTTCCCACTCTCAACATTAGCTTTCATCTTTAAATCAATACAAGCTGGCATACACCCAGACTGCGTAATTCATAAGTATAATGAGCAAACAAAATTACAACTCATTTACATTTACTAGTGCCACTATGTGCATTGTGTTCCTTAAGTCACATCAGGGAATTCATCTTACTGGAAGTGTTGGATATTAGACAAGTGTGAACTATTTTGTTGATAATCAACACTTGTGATCAATTCATTTGCTACAGCACTGTGTTCTCGAACACATTAATCACCGAGCATTCAGAAATCATGGCCATATCTAGGTGCTTCTGAAGTCATTTCTTTGTCAAGAGTTATATAAGGATACCATTTTGAATCTTTTGACAACTAGGAACTTCCCTTGACGATGGTGCAAGAGGGTTAAAAAGGATTAATAACTCCACAGCAATATTAGAAGCAAACATTCTGTAAAGGTGAAAATATTTCTAATGTGTTTGATATTGGGTGGAATCTTGACTTTATCGAGGTGAACTCTTAGCAAAAAAAAAAGACTGGAAAATGAGATGTTTAAGTTTCAGATAAAGTTGGAAACAGGGATAAAATATGTCCTGAACATTTTAAATTTTAAAATATTACTTCAGTGTCAATTCATTTTCAAACTTGGGGGGAAAGTTCAACTCCTTGGTTAAGCAGTTAAATTTTGAAAATTCTCACCATGGTTTTCAAACCTCTCGTTATCTCTAATCACCGCTAGCTCCAGCTCCACAAACACTTGAGATAGCTGTACCCCTCCAGTTCTGCAGGAACAAATTACTGCAGAAGCTGGAATCTGCACTGCAAACAAATGCTGGAGACTACAGCGGATCAGGCAGCATTCATGAAGAGAGAGCAAGCTAACGTTTCACATCGAGATGACTCTTCAGAGGAGAAGGCTCCAATTCTGAGCTCTTGCCCCGATTTTAGCCAATCCACAGCAGGCAGTCATGTCTCTGCTGCTAGTTCCCTGCATCTTCTACCTCTCTCTCTTTAGGAAGTTCTTAAAACCCACCTGACCCGGCTTTTTGTCATCTGTCCCAGTATCTTGTGGGATAATGCCAAATTTAATTTGATAACACTACTGGGAAGTTTCACAAGACTTTTTCCTCTACATTAAAGGAAGCATACAAAGTTGTTGAAACTTAATCAACCAAGAGACTTAACACTTTCTTGCAGCTGAATTCAATAGTGTGGAAAAAAATTAAGCATAACATACAATTATAATGGGCACAATGTCAAAGTTTCATCCATTAAGATGGATAGACAACATCTATCATGCAATTTTCAGATTAAAATTCCATCCATCAGCAAAGAGTTATGTCTGTTACAAGAACATTTCATAAAGGAGTATTTCACGTTCAACAAGAACCAGCACTTGCTTTTATGTGATAACAAGGTGTAGAGCTAGATGAACACAGCAGGCCAAGCAGCATCAGAGGAGCAGGAAGGCTGACGTTTCGGGCCTAGACCCTTCTTCAGAAAAATGCTTTTACGTATTAGCCAGAATCATTTTGCATAAGTCAACGGGATCAAACTTGCTGCTTAAACTTGTTACAGTATGTGCAAAGTAGGAAAATGAACTGGTTAGCCCAAGTTAGATGGAGTTTACTTTTTCAGATGTTATACCTTCACTACTGCTTGAAAATACTCCAGTTACACCAAAATCAAAATACTGCAGAGGTTGGAATATGAAATAAATACAAAAGTTCTGGAGAAACTGAGGAGTCACATTGGACTTAAAGCATTAACTGTTTCTCTCTCCATAGATGCTGCCAGATCTTGAGTGTCTTCAGCACTTGCCTTTTTCACCCTCTACAGTTACAGCCTGTTTACATTTCCTGATTAAGCCAAAGTTGATGCAGTGAGAAGAGACCTAAACACTTGTATAATTATATATGCTTTTACTGTCCTGGTCACTGAAATTACACTTTGTCTCAGTAATCCAATACTCCAATTCACTTGGTGTAGTTGAAAGCATTGGAATAGTTCAACTCAAATGCAAATGTGAAGAGGCATGCAAATGAAAACAGAATTTAATAAAAATTAGTTTCTCTTAAAAACATAGTGGGAAAAGCAGCAGCAGGATGGGTGCAGAAAGTCAATGCTTGATGCAAACCCACATATAAACATGTACTTTATTTTTCTGGTCGCCATTGTGGTGTAACACTAAAGTTGCTCCATCACATTTACAAGAAACATAACATACAAAGGTGCAACTTAGGTACACAAATTGATGTGAAATGAGTTTTATATGAACTCATCCATTACAGATTTGATGACTGCAAGCCATAGGACTCTAATGCAAGTCTATCAGATGGTTCTTTATCATAGTCACAGTTCAACACGTTTTCAACTGCTGTCTTGCACAAGGCCATAAGGAATAAATCTCACCATTTATGTATGACAGAAAAAGAAGTCTTTAACATTCTGTCTCGCTACTCCACCCCATTCTGAATTTGAAATGGGCTATACATTTGCAAGTTAAACAGAATACAGACTAAACTATGGAATACTGCTGGACAGCACCTGGCCCATTTTGCAGAATTGATCAGGAATCACTTCAGACCGTGTCACAATCACTCTTCAGCAAATGGTGGGTTTAAAACCACAAATATGTTGGGAAAATATACACTTAAATAAATTATATACAGCAAATCTAGATCTCATTTCCAGAATTCAGATTCTCAACATCTTCATGATGGCTAATCTCCCATTTTCACTTTAGATGTCTGTTACAATAAAAAAGAAAAGTAATTAATTCTATTTTACAGCAATAACTTCTACTGGCTGCAGAAGTAATTTGTAGCTTTTCATAAATGAACAGAGATAGTATCATTAACTAAACAGATTATATATTCTTCCTTCTATACTGATACAGCAATGGTAATTAACATACAAGGGTATAATTCACTTCTAACTGTGTATTCAATATATTTCTAAACTAAAAGGAAATTAATATAGATTAGAAAGAATATTAAGATTGAAGCAATAAGTATCTGTGACATAACTTTGCACATTCTCTTCACACGAAAACAAAACAGTAACAATAATAGATAACGGTTTTAAAAGGAAAAGAAAATTGCAAAGTGCTTTACAGAGTTGTCAGCAAAACAATGGATGCCCTGTCTTTTACCTGCATTTGACCCATACCCCTCCAAAGCTTTCCTATCCACGAGCGTGTCTAAAATGTCTTCTAAAATGTTGCAACTGTACCCACTTCTATCACTTCCTCTGGCAGCTTATTCCACATACACATCACCCTGTGTAGAAAAAGTTGCCCCTCAGGTTATTTTAAATCTTTCCCTTCCCACCATAAAAATTATACCGTCTAGTTATGGACTCCCTCACCCTGGTTCAGGAACCAGATCATTTTTGATAATAGTAAGGACAATCCAAATTACCAATTACCTCTTCTGAAACTCAGCAAATCATCTTACCTGTAGGATGGCTACAATGACTCCAAACAATCCAATGGCACTGCCAAAAATTTCAACGATCAGGATTTTGACAAACAGGCTGGCATTCTGGGCATCAGCCAGAGCAGCACCACTACCCACAATGCCAACACAGATACCACAAAACAGATTAGAAAATCCAACAGTCAGGCCAGCACCAAACATGGAGAACCCTACAAGTGAAAACAAGAAACTGAGAAATCTACCCATTGAAAAATCAAATCAACTCAGTTTTACCCATCACTTATTGGGTGATAACAACAATGTAATAGAAACGGTTCAAAGGTTTCCTCTCAGCTTCATTGCTCACATATATAGTAGTGGAGAAAGAGGAACAGAACAGTCTCAAAGGAATGGTCAATTCTTGTTCTTATTCCTCCCTCCCCCAAGACTATAAATCAATTACAATCCCCCATATCATTCCGCAAAAAAGAATTCTGGTCAATACTATAGCCAATAAAAAAGGCTTATTTTCAGAAATGACAACATGCTAATTTAGTCAGGGTAGATATCATGAAAAGCCACCCAGAGACAGTTAAATGCATACTGATCTAATAGTACTAATTCTAAGATATAGTTAATTAAATGTTATGAACAGTTAATCAGTGGGTTGACTACACTTTCCTTTTGCTGGACAAAGTCTGTACATACCCTTGAGTTGAAAAACTCACATAAGAGTGGGCACAGACACATTCAGACAAAGCCTGTCAGCAACAAGAAGCGGTTGTGACACCAGTTATGCAGCCTTCTTGCCAAAACTGGAACAGTTAGAAATGGCTCCTGATAACTACAGACTTCCATTTCAAATCTAATACACATCAAGTGGCTAAAATTTAAAGTTGGTACAACAGAAACGAAACTGACCTGCTTGATAATTCCTGGCTCCAATTGTCTGAGGAGTGGTACCACTGAATGGCTGTGCAGAACAGAAAAAAACAAATTGTAGCAAAAATGGAATACTTGCAACCAGTTCCTCATCTTTCAAATTACTCACTTGAAAGAAAGTCATACATTACTGGCTAAAGGCAGTTTTCGTGGGATTTAGCTAATCTTATTTGTTTTGTTAACAGTCTTAAATACGCCTCAAATAAATGTTTACACAATAAACATATTCAGAAACTCAAGGGTAAAGAATTTTGGGGATACTTTTCTTAAAGGTGGCATTTGTTGCTACATGTAAACTGTGAGAAAAGGTTCCAGAATTAATAATAATAATTTTTTTTATACCTAAGAAAACCATTAAGGCATGGACAGAGCAACAGAATTCGCAAGTTAATTTGTATGATTCTCAATTTTAACTCCCTCAACAACGGACTATTCTTCACCCAAAATATAAGACAGGTGATCTGCCCCCAGGATTCTGTTAACTTCAATTAATCCAGATATGCATGAATGTGGCGAGGGGAGACTTAGCTTCCTTGGGAATTGTTTAAAAATACAGATGTTTCATATGTGCAGAAACAGGGGAGCAAATGTGACTCAGATCTGAGTAATATTGGGTTATCCTTGCCACAGGCAAAAACATATGACTTATATAAATCATTGAGAGTTTTCACCTGGAAGAAAAGTATATAGATGAGCAACATTGCCACTGTCTTGTAAAGCCTGTTTCTGTTCAATATTTGAGAAGACAGCAATGTAGTGACACTGCATAAAAGCATAATTTAATTGATACACTAATTGGCAAGTGTTATGCAAATTGGAATTACTCATTTGAATGAGACAATACAGCTTTAATCAAATGGACACAGTCGATCATATTTTTATAAAATGTGTCAGGTCAGCTTTTGACATCAAATGCATCTCAGGCTACACAATAAAATTAAAATTTCACGTACCTCTGCCATATTACTGATGACAATAGCCATGATAATCCCATAAATTGCAACAGCTTCACAGAAAATGATGCTGCAATACAAATGGTAAGAAGTCACTTTTGGTTACTTATAGAGCAACGACAAACTGCTATAATGTTTATCATCTCTCTTATTATGGTTACCCTAGTCGGTTTGTGGCTATAAACTTGCAAACCCTGATTTTTGCAGATATTTAATTCACCAAGAATCTGCTTCTAACATTCTCACTCCAAGTAGATTATAACATTAAGATGCAGATTTGTTCTCATTTTTTTCCCAAACTAAGTTTTACCATCTCAGCTCTCACTCTTCCTGTAATCTGAAACTTGGTTATTTGAGGGGTGCATCATGTAAAATGCACAATACAGAAACAGACCATTTGGCCCACTAGTCAATGCTGATATTTGTACGTCGTCACATTCTGGACTCAAGTGCAAACATCTACCATGTCAAACGCCTTCATAAACTTTTAAAAACCTATTCCTTAACTCCTCTTTCAGAAATAGGACCTCCAGCTGACCAATCTTTATTAAAGTTGTTCCTGCTTAATTCTGGTTTCCGTTTTTGCTGTTTTTTTTTCAGTCTCTGGATATCCTCTTATTGTGAGATGTAAATCAGTATAGTGCAGAATATTTCAAAGTTAGTCTAACCATAGTGTAACGTTAGCTCTCTGATCTCTTCCCCCGACGAAGCCTAGATGTTTGCTTATTTTGTGTGGCCTCAAATTGCACAATTACTTTTAGGGACACAAACAGAAATTGCTAGAGAAACTTAGCAGGCCTGATAGCATCTACAGGAAGAATGTTTCGAAACCAGCGACCCTTCAACATTCTGGACGATGCTGCCAGATCTGCTGAGTTTTTCCAGCAATTTCTGTTTTTGTTTCATGTTTTCAGAATCTGCAGTTTTGTTTTATTTAACTACCTTTAGTGATTTTATGTATCTTCATTATAAAGTCAATACTTTCCTACCTATTTACTTCCTTGTCTTCCATAAAAACTTGAGAAAATGAAATCAATGAGATAAATCATCGTTCTAACATCTGAGAAAATATGCAAATCTTTTCAGATTGTCACTAAAAACTGAAAATTTCTCAAAAATCATCTTTCAGGGAAAAAGAATCTGCCACAACTGTCTGGGTTACTTTCATATTATGTAGACTGCATATGATTAGTCCACTGCATGGAGTCCTTAAGGCCCTTAGAATGACTCATCAAATCATTAAGGCAACTAGGGAGGAAAAATACATAGAACTTCTTCAGTTCTGAGAAAGGGTCACTGGACCCTAAACGTTAACTGCTTTTCCTTCACAGATACTGCCAGCCCTGCTGGGCTTTTCCAGCAACTTTGTTTTTGTTCCTGATTTACAACATCCGCAGTTCTTTCAGTTTTTATTTAGGAACAATACATAGTCTTGCCAATATGCTCCGAATGCAACAAGGAGACAAGCAATATTGGGATTTAATAATGAGGTAGACTTAATCAGTTACCTAATTGTTCATAAACTTTTATCAAATAGCCATCATAAAATGAGCTTAATGAAGTGTTTGAAAGCAAAAAGCTAAATCAGTTGCTAGAGGTTTAGATATTTGGGGAGACGATAGCCAGGTAGTATTATCACCAGACTATTAATCCAAAGACCTAGATAACATTCTGGGGACCCGGGTTTGAATCCCGCCACGGCAGATGGTGGAATTTAAATTCAATAAAATATCTGGAATTAAGAGTCTAACGATGACTGTGAATCCATTGTCAGAAAAACACACCTGGGTTCACTAATGTCCTTTAGGGAAGGAAACTGCCATCCTCACCTGTTCTGGCCTACATGTGACTCCAGGCCCACAGCAATGTGGTTGACTCTGGGCAGTTAGGGATGGGCAATAAGTGCTGCCTAGCCAGCGATGCCCTCATCCCATGAATGAATAAAAAAAAGTCAAGGCTGACTTTAATGAGATGAGACAGACTGTCCACTGTAAATAGGGAAAAATCTGCCTTAATGGGTTAAACAACTGAAGAACAGTGGATATTTAAAGGAACATTTAACGCCATGCAAAACCAGCTAATACCTGGTTTGGGGGGGGGGGGGGGGGAGGGGAGGAGGAGAGCTCCACTTCACAGAAAATACAGCCATGCATAACCGAAAAGATAATGGACCACAGAAAGCTGAACAAAAAGGCTTTAAAAATTAAAAAGCACAGATCCTGCTGAATGGGAAAAATGCTAAGACAGCAAATGACCTCAGTCTGTCTATAAGAGCTCCTAAAAAAGGGATTATGAAAGAATAATTAGAAACTTTACAGTTACAAACGGAAAGGTGGTGATCAGGACCAATGCTGGCCCACTTAAGACTGTCATTGACAATATCCCCACCTTCAATGTGAAATTGGCAGAGATGTTGAATAATTACTTTGCCTCACATTTACAGTTGAAGAGAGCGACAACTTGCTGAAAGTCCAGAGGAAACTAGCAGTGGATCAGGCGTAGTGGATGTCCAAAGACACTTGGGAGTTCGGGTGCATAGATCTTTAAAAATGTCGCAAGTGCAGAAAATAATCAAGAAAATTAATGAAATGCTGGCCTTCATATTTAGGGGACTACAGTACAAGGATGCAGAAGTTACAGAAAACCCTGGTCAGACCCCACTTGGAGTACCGTGAGCAGATCAGACCTGGGCACCAAACCTTAGGAAGCAGATAGTGGTCTTGCAGAGAGTACAATGTAAGTTCACAAGAATGACACCTGGACTTCAGGGGTTAAGTCAAAGGACAGATTATACAAACTAGGCCTATTTTCTCTAGAATTTAGAAGGTTATAGGGTGAACCGATCAAATTCTTCAAGACATTAACTGGAAGATGAAGGATAGAATAAACAGAAATTAATTCCACTGATTGGGGATTCAAGAACTAGGGGGTATAGACTGAGAATTAGGGCCAGACTGTTCATAATAGATGTTAGGAAGCACTTCTACACACAAAAGGGTAGATGTTTGGAACACACTTCCACAAATGACAGTGAATGCAAGATGAGTTGTTAATTCAGAGGTAGGTAATGTTTGTTAAAGAGATATTAAGGAATATGGGCCAAAGGCAGGTATATAGTTAGGCCACAGGACAGCCATGATCTTATTGAATGGTGGAACAGTCTTGAGGGATTGAATGATCTATTTCTGTTCCTGTTCCTATAACAAGCCTCACCTACATACGTTTTTTTTGAAACTAAAACTGGTATATTTTGGGGCACACAATGATCCCTTTAGTATAATTTCATAACTTGATAATTCACTATATCATGCACTTCAGATGACATTATCAACCATGGAGCCGAGCAAGTCAACATCAGAACAGAATAGTACAATAGCCAACTAGCAGACTGGAAACAGACAGATGTGGCATTAAGGTAAATTTGTATACAGAACTTGACATTTAGTACTTCTCAAAAAAAAATCTCAAACTCTACCAAAACAATTCATGCTCTTGTTCCACGGTGAGACAAACTAAATTACCAACGTAAGATTGCAGAGTTTTCTATAGACAATTCCCAGGCTGATGAGGGAAGAGACATTTTACGTTTCAATAAGTTAACAAACTAAATATATCCTCTCTTTAAACTCCTTGTACTCATGTCCTAGGGAACTAGCCCTCTGTCATCTTCCCAAGCAGCATCCTGCACCTTGTTGTCTCGGATTCTCCAGCATCTGCAGTTCCTACTATCTCTGTCATCTTCCTGTTCTTTACCCATCTGACTCTCCTGAGGCTCCTCCTCTTTCGTGACAACAAGCTATTCATCATAATAATTGACCCTGTGACAGAGATCGGCACACCTGTCGCTGCCGCTGTGCCAGAAAACCTGGATTCAAGTGCCACCTGCTCCAGAGATATGTCATTATACATCCAAACAAGTTGATAAAAAATACCTACTTAACCCTACCTTGTTCTATTCTTCACTATGATAAAGGGTGATCTTCCAATTCTGAAAATTATAGCTGGAAAATTAACTTTTTTCTCTTTTCAGACACTGACAGACATGGTGATGATTTTCAACATTTTGTTTTAAGTTGGAAAACTGTAGAGTGCAACAAAAGCCAGCAATGAATTGACAACTCTGCAAAAGGCTAATGGCGGTTACTTGGAATGGACAAGCCTCAATAAAATTATCCTGTTCAACATCAGTAGCTGCCCGATGAGGAGAAAATCTAAACAATTCATAAAAAAGAAATTTAACGCCCTATTCTTTCCCTCAGTGTCCGAAGCATTACCCTGGCAAATAGATTCCCTTTAAATCAAAGATGTGGCAAACCGGAAAACCAAGTCCTGCCCATCAAAATGCATGCAAAAACAGGCAACCTGATATCCGCAAGTGCTAGAGGGCAGTGAAAACTTTCCAAAAATGCATGCAATCAGTTGACATAATACATTATTTTGAAAGTAAAATTGATTTTATATATAGAGAAAGCGGTTTCATCATGTTCACCAAATGCAACGTTGCAAGTTAAGATATTTTAAAATTACCTGACAAGATTTTTGGTTTTAATCCTAGGTGCCTTGACACCCCCACCAAGAATGCTGGATCCAGTAATATAAATTCCCCTGAGTAAATAAAAAAAGTGAAAGCAAATGATTATGTCTCTTTTTCAATGAAACCTGTTGTGTTCCTCAGCTAATAGGATACACAAATGTGTTCCCAAGACTTTGAGAAGTCAGGTGGTACATCACTTAAGGAATGCATGACCTCTGATCTATTTTAGCAGCCATACCACCTATCCAAATGATAAGAAATTCTAGGAAGGCAATGCTACTGAATGTTATGGAGAGGTGGCTAGACCTTCTTGTTAGAGATAGTCATTGCTCAACACTTAGGTGGTACAAATATTAAATGCCATTTATTAGTCCAAGCCTGGATGTTTTCCAGGTCTTGCTGCATACAGTCATGAATGCCTTCATTCTCTGAGGAATCACTATCTCCTATACAAAAATGATATCTTGACAATAATGTATTCCTCAGAACCTCTTGGTTTAAAAAAAACACGGTTCATGGTGCAATAGTTATTACATTGATTTGTCAGCAGAATGACATGCGGGAATCCTGGTCAAATCCATCACAGAAAGCTCTTACCATGCAGCCCCCACAACAGACAAAGAGATGGCTAATCCAATTCCAAGGTTTGCCCACATAAACGGAGAAGTTTCTGTTAAAAACCTAATTAGGAAGAAAAAAAATCAAATAAATCATTTATCTTTTGCACTCATTATGTGAAGTATCAAATATATGGTACAAGCTTTTAAAATGGGAGTTGAAAAGAAACTACCAATGTTAATCCAAGGATGCCTACATGAAAGACATCATGCCAAACAATGTCCCAACGAGACATTCATTTCAATATGTCCTTGTTTCCCCAGTGTCAACTCTTTCGCAGATTGAGCATATCAAGATCATGAAATAAATAGTTTATTTTACTGTAAGCAGTGAATCAGTACCACTGACTGAAAAAATATCCAGAGATCATTGCCGTGTAGATTTGTCTCACCGAAGTTAAACTGAATCTGCCAACAGGAATCCAACAGTGACATCAAGCAAACTAACCAGCCAATCAAAAGGTACTCTCTCACAGACAACAAACTAGAAACCAAAAGTCAAGACTTCATTCACCAAAATTTTGCACCTAAAATGGTTGGGTCAGCAGATATTAAAAGCGTTAAAACCCATTAACATTTTCTTAAATGGGGAATTTTTAAATTTAAAGTGACATTCAATGAATACAAAACTTGAGGGGTGAGTCAGGCGTTTGGGGGTTATTAAATTACAACATTGTTAAAAACAGAGTTAAACCTCACCTTAACAAGGTGCAATATTTTAAAGGAATTTAACAGAGACATCAAGTGCAATTTAAACTTATCATCACTTAATGAATTTCTAATAGGCTGCATTCCAGGAGGGACTTCAAAAGCACACTGTATGAAGCAGCACAGAATTACTGACTGCAACATTTAGATTCCTGTGCTTAACAGCACATATACAGATTCCAGAAGTTGTAGTTAAGTTCACTGCCTTTACTGTCACAAAATCCAGGAATTATACAGATTTACATATATAACGCATCAAGAGAGTGAGATGACATGCAAGGCAGCAGTAAGACCCTACATTTGCATAAACAAAAATATTTCCACAATCCAACGCAAACCATTTTTGCTAGAAGGATTAGCTGCAGAGTGTGGGCTAAATCAGTAGCTTTAAGTGCACTAATAAAAGTGATTTATTTAATAAAATGGTAATCTAGAATACTCAGAATCCTTTTATTCAACCACTCAATTTACAAGGTCATTGTTCAGCAAGTGTTTTAACTAAAAATAAGAGTGAAGTTTACATCAATACAAAACAAGATTAAAACAAGATTCTACTGCAAAAATCAGGCCACACGCTATTCCTGGAAGCTGTGATATACTGACAATTCAAGATTTGGACATCTTCAATAATCAACAGCAAATTATTTTCTTTAAAGAAGATAAAGTCTTACGCACCCATCAAGTGAACTGCATTTGACATATAAAACACTTAGAGTTCACCTCCTTAAGCAATCTTTAATTCAATAATTAATACAGTTTCTGACAGACGATTCCATGATGATTTGACACAATTTCTTAACAATTCTGGGATACTTCTGCCTCCTCAAACTTTTCACGTCTTGTTTAAATAAAAAGACACATTCATTGGTCTTTCGGGTGTTGTGGGCAAAGGAAGGGGAGATGGAGATAATTACTGAATCTCCTGCTTGTATTCAAATACAGGGTATACTCATTTATAATCATTCCATTTTCTCTCACTATCAAGGCAAAGACCCCATTCTCTCAAAACTCCAAAACACACAAGATAAAAAATGCTTTATTATTAGCTGGAGGAAGGTGCATAAAAGCATCCACTTGTGTTTAATTCTTAATTCTCCATGGTAAGGAAAAAGTTTAAATTTTTTACAATGCTACGATCAAAATTGATTAACCTGACATTACAAAGGTCAATGAAACAGACTAAAATATATACAAAAACAAAATAGAAATGGCTGAAACATTTGAGCAGTTCTGGCAGCATCTGTAGAAAGAAAGCAGAGTTACCATTCAGGTCCAGTAACCCTTCTTCGGAATACCTAACCGATTTCTCCTCACAAATGCTGCCAGACTGCTGAGTTTTACCAACAAATTCAGTTGTTTTTGATTTCCAGCATCCACAGTTCTTTTGGTTTTTTGTTAAAATATTTACAAATGATATCAACAGCTGATGGCTACACCACCTCAACCCAACTCTATGAAATGGCCTAAGTCAGCCAGTTTTCTATTTCACTCTACGTTTTAAAATCCTCTTGATCAAGTCTTCAGAAACCTTGTGCAATTTTCATGTAATTTGACGGCTGCTCCTTCAATTTATGTTTTTCTTCATTCTATACAAAAACTTTTAGCAAGTTTATTAGAAAGGTGTTGCATAAATATTTGCCATACAGCAACATCTCACCAACCTAACCCACCCTTCATTCCACAAAACAATTGAACTTTGCACTAAGGTCATGATCTTGAAGTATTAACTGTTTCATTCCCCAAATGCTACTTGACCTGCTGAGATTTTCTGATAAATTCTGCTTTTATTTCAAACTTCCGTTTTTATTTCAAACTTCCAGCATCTATAGTATTCTGCTTTTTGATTTTTTTGAACTTTGATTTATCAGGGCATGGATCTAACTCAGAACCACAAGGACATATTTGTTCTCATCTTTGCCTGGTTCACACGAGCAATCATTTCTGCAATTCATTTTCTCCCAAATTCATATGTTCTCGTTTCCAACTTTATATCTGGTCCCACCTACAAGACTTGCTGAACCAACAGCCATGGTTCAACTGATACAACCGCAACTTCCACTTTTTTTAACCTCATCCAAAACGTTTAGAAAACATGTAGGCAGAGAATCTAAATATTAACAAACAATTCACAAAACACGTTAGGACTGTAAAGAAGCAGCAACCAGAAGAGGCCAGCATATTAAAAAAAACTTGTAAACCACACCTATCTCTGGAATTTTAGTAACAGACAAATCCTTCAAATGCAATATCAGGCAAAGCTTACTTGATGGGCTCATAAAAATTCAATCCTTTGACACCTATCCAAATATTTCTACATATAATGGGAGTTTGCAGAGGCTTCCAATTTATTGTCAGGCATCCATTTCTACGTGTGATTTAGTAATTGGGTTTTATTGTCTAAAAACAAGACCAAAAACTGCTTTGAAATTTAATATTTTTCATGTCAGCAAATCTTGGTTCCAAAATTCCAAACCAAAGACTAGCTTGCATTAGAATCTTGCAAAATGAACATACAAAAATATTCTATGATTAAAGTTTGAGAAGATTTGTAACTCAGTTTGGGGATGAGGTTGTAGACATGCTCGCCAAGCCGGTGGGTTTGGTTGCAAGCGTTTCGTCATCCTGCTAGTTAACATCATCAGTGCACCTCCGGTGAAGCGGTGTTCTGTCCCGCTTGTTATTTATATGCCTCAGTTTGCTGGGATGGCTGACATTAGATCCGGTTCTGTTTTTCAGTGCTTTGTATATTCGGTCCAGTTCAACGTGTTTGCTGACGGAGTTCCAGTTGGAATACCAGGCCTCCAGGAATTCCCTGGCGTGTCTGTTTGGCTTGTGTGATTATGGATGTGTTGCCCCAGTCAAATTAGTATCCCTCGTTGTCTGTGTGTTGTGAGATAAGTGATAATTAGTCATGTCTCTTGGTGGCTAGTTGGTGTTCACGTACCCATATTGTCAGACAGAGACACGTCAGGGAATTCCAGGAGGCCTGGTATTCTAACTGGAACTCCAAACATATTGAATTAGACCATGTGAACAAACCACCGAGAAACAGAACCGGGAGTAATACCAACCACCCAGCAAACCAAGGGACATAAATAACGAGTGGGACTGAACATGGATGATTCACCAGAGGTGCACTGACGATGTTACCTAGCAGGGTAACGAAACATTTGCAACCAAACCCACCAGCTCGGCAAGCATATCTACAACCTCAATATTCTACGATGCTTCAGGAGTACAATCAGACAATAACTGTTACCACAGTGAAAGAAGAATTTTCAAAAAGTTGAAAAAAGCTTTTTCCAAGGGGCAAGGTTTTAGAAAGGTCTAAAAGGAAGAAATAGAGGAACATAAAATTTTATGGAGGAAATTTTAGAGCCTAAGAAGTTTCATTAGCACTTTACTACATTACTAAGTGAGGTACTAATCAGTGTAAGATTTGAATATGCTAATTCCTGGTGTACGAAAGCAGAATAATGTGATAAACCAGACAGCATAATTTTGGCTTCAAGTCCCTAGCAAACTGTCCTAGTCAGAAAATACATGTAATAACTGCAGTTGCTTTTTGTCTCATTTACAATACTTCACAAAAAAATTCTGATGACCTTTTCATAAAGCGCTGGTTCAGCTACAGGGGTGCCACACTTTGGGAAGAATGTGAAAATTTTAGACGGTGAGAAAATGTTTAAGAGAATCGTTCCAGAGATGAGGAACTTCAGTTACATGGGTAGATTGGAAAAAAGCTGGGGTTATTCTACAAAAGGTAGAAAGGAGACTTGATAAAAATGTGCAAAATCATGAACTGTCTAGATAAGAGAGAAATTGTTTCCATTGGTGGAAGGGCCAAGAACCAGAGGAAATGGCAGTTGGTAAAAGAACAAAGAATAACTTCTTTTTTGTAGGGAGTGGTTATGGTCTGAAAAACACTGCCAGAATACAGAACAGGCACAAATGAATGAACATCCTTATAAATTTGCTTCTGGTAATATTCAATTTAGAGAGTGAAAAAATTACTAGCAACTGATTGATTACCATGAATTTTCTGAAAGTTATCTTCGATTAGTATAAGCATTTCCAAGCTGATTGGATTGATGCAATAAGGGTAAAGTAAATTGCTAGAAATAAATCAGAACTTCACTTTTCCTTTAAAATGACTTACCATCCTATATCAAAGCGAAATCCTAAGTCAAATATTGTGTAACAAATGCCTGCAATAGAAAGAAACAAAGTTGCACTTGAGAACAATTGAAAGTTTTCCAAAATGTGTATACCTCAACTTTTGGTATCAAAAACAGATTTTCAGCTTTTTAAGAAATAAAATTTCATGTCTAACACTCCAGAAATGTCAGATCCATTTGGGGTAATTGTAATTCAATACACAAGAGGCTTTTCAATTTCAATGTGGCACAACTTTCCAGTGTTATCTTGCAGAAGGGAATGAGAGAAGACATTTGTTTCCTCATCACTCTTTTCGCCCCATAAAGACAGCTACAGCAGAATTCTCATCATATCTTCAATTAAATCAAACTGAAGTCTGGTGATTTTGAGGAGAAACTCAACAAAGGTTATCACTCCACTGAAATGGAGACAGTTAAATTGTATATTGACAAGAATAAAGCTCACATTAGATTGAGATACCTCTCCCCACTTGAATGTGCATTCTCATATCGGTCATATCTGAAGGCATTTTGAAATTAAGGTCAATTTAAAATTAGGGTTTTGCACATCAGGAAGCAGATACAGGATTACTCAACTCAACCACTCCATCACATGGCAGACACTACCCATATATTTTAAAACTGAAAAAAAAAGTTCCTTAAGTCATTAGCTTGAAACTTGATCTTGACCCAGGTGCAGGTCACAAAGTGCAAAGTCATTTGCTGATTTCAAAATTCTTGGCCTATTTGTTTGGATCTGATCCAAACAGGCAACAGTTAACCCAGATAAAAGATGATGTTCAGAACTACCTAAGGTTGTTCTTCTAAGCAGGTGTTTATTTAGAATGGCAAAGGACTGATTAGTCATTGTACTGGATCAGATTTATTTGGGATCTACTAAACATTTCACACTTAGTAATTATTTTAAATTGGCTAATGTCCATATCAGACCAGATCTGCATGCAGAAATAACACTGGGCTTCAAACATAAAGACTGTTAATTAGACACTTGCTCTTCTTTCTTGTTGTAATTGAGATCAATTTTGCCCTACATTGTACTTAAGTACAGAGACTTTCATATTGTCGAATACATTGCCTCTGTTTAATATCTCATTCAAAAACAGTCCCTGCTGTTGCATGGTTCAAAGAAACACAAGTTAACACACTCAGTTTTCCTGGTATTCATCCTTCAACCAAATTCACTGAAACAAATCAGCTAGTTATTTATCTGAATACTGCACTGCATAATATGGATGCAGCACTGCTCTATGTTACAACAGTGATACAGAAAAACTTTACCGACTTTGGGATGTTCTGAGACTACAAATGCTGCTACATAAATCCAAGTTTAACATTATACAGTAACCAGCCAAGTAAACAAAAAAATTGAGTGGATGAGCACTTTGTGGGCTCAGCTCTGAAGAGGAACTGAGAGGAGGAACTGAGTGCTTTTTCCCCAAACATTCTTCCTTTCTGTAAGTTACAGTTGAGCTGCTGCCACTCTTGCCAGAGCCTCAAAGTTGCGGGCTCAAGTCCCACGCCAGAAATTTGAACACAAAAGTTTAGGCTGATACTCCAGTGAAATACAGAGGTGGCGCTCAACTGTTACATACTCTGATGCTAAATGAAGATCTTGTGTGCTGTTGAGTGCACAAAGGATCCAGTAGCACTAGCACGAAATGCAGGGTGCTTAGCCCTGGTGCCTGGTCCATAATAAATGCTGATAATAAATGCATAATAAAAACAGATCATCTGGTCAATAAACCATGAATAATCACGGAATCTTGCTGCACCCAAATCAGGCAGCGTGTCTACAATAAAGCAACAGTGAATGCAGATCAAAAGTATTAATTGTCTGCAATGAGCTTTGGAATGCAAGGTCATAAAAGATGTTATAAATATGATTTTTGTTTTCCTCTCTTCTGGGAGGACAATCTATCACTGAATGAACAAGATTAACGAATCAAATATGCGTAGTTTGCTAATATTCAACTCTAGCACTTGTGTACTGCTCAATTCCTCAAATAACAAATTTCATTGCCTAGCTTAAAGTATCTGAACTATTTAAAGTGAAGATTATGCCATAATTTTCTGTGAAGAGATGTTTAGTCCGGAGTTAAAGACCCTACAGAAAAAGGTCCATTTTTACTGCAGGCATCCTTAAGAATGCTGCAAAATTTAAAACCAGTGAACGTGAAAGAGGGAAACTACACAAAGATGTTGCGAGAGTAGACGAGATTGGTGTCTCACCAGCAAAATACCTTTACTATTTTTTTTATTTGTCTGTGATCTTGATTGAGAGCAATTATTAATGGGTTTACAAGGATCAACAGTCATGTCTTACAGAAAGGAGGCCAGTCAACATTTAAACTCAGCAATTTTTCCAAAGAATTCCCCAAAATTAGCCAACATCCTGGCTTTCTCCCTGGAACTCTGCACAAAAGTTCTCTTCAAAAATATCGAATTTCCTTTTAAAAATCTTTTAGGCTTTTCATTCCATTGTAACAAACCTGCATGAAAAGAAATTGACTTCTGCCCTAGCTATTTTGCCAGTTATACTAAATGTACTATCATGGACCAGACCAAACCTCCTCAAAACATCTCAAGATATCCTAGACTCTAACCTTTATCTTATAAAGGCAAGTGTATGGTGCCGTGTTCCAGATGTAATTCAACTGGTTACACTACTACGCTTTAAGCAAAACACTTCTTAGGAAAACACTATTTTTACATGACAGTTAAAATACAAAAAAACAACTGGCATAACTAACTTTACTACTCATCAACTGCTCCAATGTAGTAGCATCCCAAGACGACACCGGTGGCAAAGGCAAATTCAGCTGAACACATTTCCCTCACATACTATCTCCCCAGTCCAAGAGAAAGACAAGCCCAAAGATTAAATCTAGCAGAGAGAGAACAAGCTTCTTACAGCAACAGAGCTGTATTCAGCAACTTCAACTCCAAAAACCCCAACTTCAACAACTGAAAGCAAAACTAAAACTCTGGGTCTGAGAGAACCTTAATCCACACACTCATGCTTTCTTTGTCTAATTTTTTAAAAACCCAAGCTATTTTCTCTGCTTTTCCTGAAGCAGACACTTCGACACCAGGTTTATTACATGCCACTTTAAGAGGAACAGGACAGGCAAATCCTTCTTAAAGGCACATATCGTCACACTACGGCCTCTTGGTACTGACTCACTTGCCAGAGCAAATAAATTCTCCCAACCTGTTTTATCAAAACCTCTATTTTGCTTCCCCCCTTGATCTTCCCTATTTGAGTCATAGGGATGTAGAGAATGGAAACAGATGCCTTTTAAATGTTGTAATTGTACCAAACCTCCACCACCACCTCCTCTGGCAGCTCATTCCATACACGCACCACCCTCTGGTGTGAAAAGTTGCTCTTTAGGTCCTTGTTAAACCTTTCCCCTCTCACCTTAAACCTACGCCCTCTAGTTCAGGATACACAAACATCAGCTACCAGCAAAACACCATGACAAAATTTCCATCTTAGTGTAATCAGATAATGAAGGCCATCAATTTAACAGAGACAACTTAACCATCCGAGCTCAAGCCAACCACAGATAGGCATGGGAATTCCTACAGGCCTGGTTTTCACCCTGTAATGCAATCAACAAACACGTGGAATTGGACCCCATATACAAACCCGTGCAAAACAGAGCCGGAAATGACATAACCCAACTTAACAGACCAGATCGTATAAATACCAAGAGGAGTAGAACAACATTGCTTCATCGGAGGTCACACGGATAATGTTACCCAGCATGGTGGTTAAACGTCTATACAATAACCAGCCACCTAGGCAAGCAGGCCAACCACCTCAGTTTTGGACTCCCCCACCCCACACACTCCAGGAAAAAGACCTTGACCATTCACCCTATCCATGCCCCTCATCATTTTATATGCTTCTATAAAGGTCACCCCTCAGCCTCTGACGCTCTAGGGAAAATAGCACGAGGCTATTCAGCCTGTCTCAATAGCTTAAACCCTCCAACCCTGGCAACATCCTTGTAAATCTTTTCTGAACCCTTAAGTTTCACAACATATTTCTCACAGCAGGGAAACCAGAATTGAACGCAGTATTCAAAAGTGGCTTAACTAATTTCCTGTACAGCTACATGACCTCACAACACCTATACTCAATGCACTGACCAATCAAGGCAAGTGTACCAAATGCCTTCTTCACTATCCTGTCTACCTGTGACTCCATTTTCAAGGACCTATGAACCTGCACTCCAAGGTCTCTTTGCTCAGCAACACTCCTCAGGACTTTACCATTAACTGTGTAAGTCTTGCCTTACACAAATACAGCACTTCACATTTATCTAAATTAAGGATAACCCCACTTTCTTTGAAGTTCCTCACCATTATAATTCTCCTGTGTACTCCCTCCCAGCCTTTGGCATCCTACCTAAACTTTGGTGCTTTGAATTGTATGCCAATACTCGAGAAACATTTGCTCAATTGTGACATCGCCCTCCATTCTTCACCTCCATAAGCCACCCTCAGATCTCCACTTTTACACCCTTTATGCAGTCAAAGAACAGAGTGTCAAAACACAGGCAAGCAAAAAAATTCACAAACCAAATTTTCTTTCGATTTTGATCGTTTTTGTTCAACTTTAAGGACTGCAAGCCTGTATTTCACAACAAGAGTTTCAACAATGTAATCAGTTCCCACTACACTTGCCTGACACCACAAAATACTGTTACCACAATGGTGGAATTTCCCACGTTATGCAAAGCTGAAACTGTGCAGACTGCCTTAACTCTTTTAGATCCAGAACTTTCTCCCTATTTCCAATGAATTTGTAGTTTACTTCTTGTATTTTCAAAGATATCGATGCATATTGGGTTTCAAGCTCAATTTGCAAGTTCTGAATTCCAAACAATAACAGTCATGACAAAAGTTGCAACTGTAAACTATAAAGTGAATCAGTTAAAGTGGCATGCAAATGGAGAAGGTTGAGCTAGCTATACAAATGTAAATGTTGGACATCTGGCACTCATTACCTCCACCATCTGCAAAAACTGCCTCTTTGTAGGTTACGTGGAACAATCCCTCTTCCGTACCTACACTGGCCCTAAACCCCACCTCTTCCTCCGTTACATTGATGACTGTATCAGCGCCACTGCGTGCTCCCACGAGGAGCTCGAACAGTTCATCCACTTCAACACCTTCCACCCCAACCTTAAGTTCACCTGGACCATCTCTAATACCTCTCTCTCCCTCCTGGACCTCTGTCTCCATCTCAGGCAACCACCTAGAAACCGATATCCATTTCAAGCCCACCGACTCCCACGGCGACCGAGAATACACCTCCTCCCACCCACCTTCCTGCAAAAATGCCATCCCATATTCCCAATTCCTTCGCCTCCGCCGCATCTGCTCCCAGGATGAGGCATTCCACTCCCATACATCTCAGATGTCCTCGTTTTTCAAGGACCACAACTTCCCCCACCTCAGTGGTCGAGAACGCCCTCGACCGTGTCTCCCGCAACTCATCCCTCACACCCCCTCCCCGCAATAACCACCAAAACAGAATCCCCCTCGTCCTCACATACCACCCCACCAACCTCCGGATCCAACGCATCATCCTCCGACACTTCCGCCATTTGCAAACTCTCCCACTCCAAATTGTTTACCCCTTATTACAATATACTCAGGCCTAGATATCAGATATTAGATATCTCAACATAACATAAGCTTTGGAAATTTTTTATTGCATACACTTATTTCTGTATATGATGTATTGAGCTAATTGCATTAGCCATGATTCACATCTTTTATACTTGAAAGAGACTTTTTTTAACAATACAGCTCATGACCACAGCATACTAGAGAGCTTCCACCAATTTCACTTTAATAAATAGGAAATGTGATTGCCTGCTTTCTCACAGTCATTCGAAAAACAACAATGCAGCCTATTTGTGCATTTCTTAACACTTAGATAGCCTACTCTTTGAAAATAAGCCATTGGATCTTTTACATCAATCTTAGAAAGGGAGAGGACCTCATTTTAATGGGACGTGTAAAATGTAAAATTCAAAAGTGCAGCATTCCCTCAGTACAGCATTGGAGTGGCAACTCCATGTCTGAATTGGGACCTGAACCCACAGTCTGACTCAGGATAAGTGTGCAATTGATGAACCAAGCGGACCCTCAAATGCACACGAGACCAAAGGCGAACAGAAATTTAAATGTTTAGACCAGCAAACACACAACTAATGAAAGAAAAAGTTACACTCAACCTTGAATTCCAAACATAACATTTCAATTGCTGGTCAAATCACTGATTCCAGAAGTCTATACTAATATCTAAAAGTCAGCAAACATAACAATTTAGAAATTGGACACTACTGCTGACAGGTTCACTTCAGAAAAGTTTTAGAAACAAATGCTTAACTGTCACATTCCTTACTCTTCTATTGTTGGCGATCAGAAGACTAGCATAGGAAGCTGTAGCAATATTCATCACTGACAGAATTAGGACCTTATCCCACCTAAAGTTCAGCAAAGAGCAGCATAAATATTCATAATCACAAATATCTGCACATTTTATATTTTTAGAGAACATAAGAAAAAAATTATACATAGAGGCACAGTGGTAATGTTCCTACCTCTGGGCCAGGACTCATTTGTCCCATTTGCTCCAGAAGTATGTAATAACATCTGAGTAGATTCATTAGAAAATATTTTTAAAAATAAGTCTACATTCATCAGAATTTGTAATTTTTTGAGACATCATTTCATGTTCTCTCACTACTTGAACAACAGAAAAACGGTTTAGCTCAGCCTCACACATTTGCACAATTAATGCACTTTATAAGGCTGGAAATCATGTCTGGAAAAAATTTTAAGTAAGTATTTACTTATCCAACACAACAACTCTTCACATTACTTTTTGAATCTGTAATGACACTCTCTTCGTTAACAAATTCATGTGGATAGTAAAATGCCCCTGAAAGAGGCTCAGTGGACCCGAAACGTAGTTTTATTTCTCTTTCCATATATGCTGCCAGACCTGCTGAAATTCTCCAGAACCTTGTTTCTGATTTCCAGCACCCATTTAAAACCCAATTTAATTCCTAGCGATGATTCTCAACATGTTGTGGGGTTCATTCATTAAAAACACAACCCTGACAAAGTGACCCAGCGGGGGGACACCTCCACGGGCTCCATTTCAAAAGCTCAAACATTGTATACACCCGTCTGAAAGCGAAAAGCCTCCGTCAGCAGGAGGTGCAGCGCCCCCGGGGAAGGATCTTCGGTCCCCGGCTGCACTAGGCCTGACACCGGGCTGGGCCCGGTACAGGAAGGAGCGACACTCCGCCCCCACACTCCCGCTGTCTTACCTACTATGAGGATGGTGGACCAAAAGGCCACAGTGATACCACCGTAGAGCAGCGCGTAGCCGTTCATCGTTCCGGACGGAAGGAGCAGGCGGCTCACGGCCAGAGACCAGGGTGACTGCGTCCAACGATCGGGCACCAGTCACGTGAGGCGTCGTGGGCGTCACGTGAGCATCGTCGATGTCTGCCCACGCGGCATCCTGGGACATGTAGTCAGCATACGCCCCCTCCCGGGGCGGCAGGGAAATGAACTACAATTACCGGCATGCTCCGCGGCACGGTCGATCCTGTTGGGTCCATATTCAGAGCAGAATGGGAGTACTGAAACAAACAGAAATTACTGGAGAGACTCAGTTGGACTGGTAGTATCTGTGGGAAGAAATAGAGAGTTAAGGTTTAGAGGCTTACCTGGCTCTTATCCAGAACTGCAAAGGTGTTGGAAAATGGATGTTCTAATATTTTTGACAGAGGAGAAGGGAGCAGATGGTGCAGAGGCCCAGTGCAAAAAAAGGTTGTTAATGGTTGTGAAAGAGAAATAGAGATGTAAAATAAAGTGTGAAAGGGTTTTCTCTATTTAGGACAAAGTAAGCAAGACATAAATACGACAAGGCTTCATGGGAGAAAGAATGTAAGAAAATTGGGTGAACAAATATCATTCGCTCAGGCTCTGAAGTTGTGGAATTCAATGTTGAGTCGTAGAGCCTGTGAAGTGCCTAAGCGGAAAATGAGGTGTCCCTTCTTCGGTCTGCATGTGGTTAGTTAGAATGTTGCAGCAGGCCCTGGGCTTTGATTTATTATTGTTTCATGTACTGAGATAGTGAAAAGTATAGTTTTCCATGCTATCCACACAAATCATATCTTAAATAAATACATCAGGGTAACAAAACAGAGCACTAAATATAGTGTTACAGCTACAGCGAAGGTGCAGAGAAAGATTAACTCTCATGTGAGATTTATTTCATAAGTCTGTTAACAATGGAGAAGAAGCTCTTCTTGAATCTATTTTTATGTATTTTCAAACCTTTGTAACTTCTGCCCATGCAAGAGGGTAAAACCAGGGTGGGAGGGGTCTTTGATGATGTTGGCTGCTTTCCTGAGGCAGCGAAAACTATAAATCAAGTCAATGGAAGGAAACAGAAAGAACTGCAGATGCTGTAAATCAGGAACAAAAACAAAGTTGCTGGAAAAGCTCAGCAGGTCTGACAGCATCTGTGAAGGAAAAAACAGAATTAACGTTATTTCCTTCACACATGCTGCCAGACTTGCTGAGCTTTTCCAGCAACTTTGTTTTTGTTGTCAATGGAAGGAAAGCTAGTTTTCACGATGGACTTGACTGCATTCACAGCTCTGTAATTTTTTGCGGTCTTGGGCACAGCTGTTACCACACCAAGCTGTGGTGCATCCAGTTAGGATTCTTTCTGTGATGCATGTATGAAAAATGGTAAGATTCATTGTGGACATGCAGAATTTCCGTAGCCTTCTGCGGAAGTAGTGGCGTTGATGTGCTTTCTTGGTTGTAGCGTTGACGTGGCTGGACCAGGACAGATTTTTGGTTATCTTTACTCCTAGGAACTTGAAGCCTTCAGCCACCTTCACCTCAGCACCATTGATACATACAAGGGTGTGTCCTCCACTCAGAGTCCAAATAGAAATGTTTTCGTGAGAGCAAGTTGTTTTATTGAAATGGCGAGCAACTGGGACGTCAATGTCATTTCTACGAACAGAGCAGGGATATTCCAAAAAGTGATCACCCAGACCTTGTGAGCAGTGAGTGCAGAAGACTAAATTGGAAGAAGTAGAAGGAAAACATTGCTTCATCCATGGTTGGGGCTTTGGAGGGAGTTGAGTAATGTTAGGAGGGTTGGAGAATTGATACTTGCAATGCAAGATGAGTAGTTTGATAGTAAGAAGAAGTGGAACCTCATTGTTCTGGGATGGAGGGGAAAGAGTGAGGACAGAAGTGTGGGGAGATGGGTTGGTCAGAGCTGATGGCCTTCTCAACCACAATAGAGGGGTCTTCGCATTTGAGGAAAAAAGGGGTCATGTCAGAGGCAGCTCATTGGAAGGTGGTGTCATCAAAATAAAATGAGGTCATTTTATTAAAACATAATAATCTGTTGTGTAGTGGTAGTACCCCTACATCTGGGTCAGGAGGTCTGAGTTCAAGTTCCCTGTATGCTGGAGGTGTGTCATAACATGTCTGAGCAGGTTGATTAAAGTAACTATAATATCCTGAGAGCTCTTGTGCAGTGGTAGTGTCCCTGCCCCTAAGCTAAGAGGTCAGGCTTTAAATCCCACCAACTCCAGATGTGCAGGTATATATCCTGAGGGGCTTCTGACCAGTCAGATACTGAGAGGATGTTTCCCCCCGTGAGAGGAAATGGGGCTGTTGTCAAACTTTAAAGATATGGGTGTTTACCATTTAAGACAGATGCGGAAGATATCTTGTTTTGGAGGGTTGTGAGTCTTTGAAATCCTTTTTAAAGGTAAATGTAAAACTAGGAAAACATGTGAATAATGCATACTGTACACTTTAAAATGACTGTTCAATTCCAAGTGTTACTTTTTTTTAAAACTTGCAATTCGTGTTGAATTTAATTTTTCATGATGTATTTTTAAACTCTGTGCAGAAGACTGTCCTTGAATGTGAACCCTGACTTTGTATGTTTTGCATGTTAGGGGTAAACAAAGCTCTTTGAATTCATGTTTATGCATATGCACGCTAAAGCATTAACCCTTTCAGAACTGGAGCAGCACAGAGATGATGGAGAGTTGTAGGTATGCAGGGCGTTACTGAGATAGGAAAGGGTGAGGCAAGGGAAGAATTTCTAAACGTGGATAAAAATTTGAAATTGACATATTCCAGATCAGAAGCAAGCACAAAAGCAATGAATAAATTTATTATTGAAAACAGGGAAATTGCAAAGAAACTAAAGTTACCTTACATCTTTCTTCATGGAAGAAGATGCAGAAAATCTCCAAGAGTTACTTGGTAACCAAGAGATTTGTATAACTGACAACTGCAAGAAGTACTTTTAAGAAAGAGGAAGTACTTTATAAATTATCTAGATTGAGGATTGAGAAATCTCCTGGACCAGATGAGGGTTCATCCAGAGGGGAGGAAGTAGGAGAGTGAAGAGTGACAGTCCTGTTAGATTGACAGTTGTAGCAGGGAATCAGTTATAATTTATTATTAAGAACAATGATAACTGAACTTTTAGATCAGAATGGCAAAATTGGTGTGAGTCAACATGGATTTATGAAAAGGAAATCATGTCTGACAAACATTTTGGATTTTGTTGCTTGTAACATAAACAAAAGCGGACCAGTGGATCTGGCACATTCATATTTTCAGAAAACTTTTGATAAATCCCATGCAGGAGATTAGCAAATAAAATCACAGTGCATAGGATTGGGATAATGTAATCGTGTAGATTAAAAATTAGTTAATAGACAAAAAGCAGAGTGTAGGAATAAATAAACTATTACTGGTGGGTACTGCAAGAATCAGTGTTGGCTCTACATCTGTTCATAATGTTTATTATATTCGATGTCCACATCCAAATCATTTATATTTCCAAATTTGCTGATGACAAAGAACTAGGTGGGGACGCAAGTTGTGAGGAGATGTTTCAAGAGGACTTGGACCTGCATGGACATATAGAATATAAAGTAAGTACAAAGTTATTTGCTTGGTATAAAAAAAGGCAGAATATTTCTTAAATGGTGAGATATTGGAAAGAGTGGTGTCCAAAGGGATCTGGGTGTCCTTATCTATGAGTCACTAAAAGCTAGTATAAAATGTAGTTCAGCTGACAGTTGACTGAGACAAATGGAATCGTGGCAAGGGAAAGAATTTTTTAGGAACTAAACGATGGATACGATGGATTTGGACTTTGCAGTATTTATTTAGAGACACATCCACCAAGCAGTACTGGAGATTGGATGAGCATTGTGACAAATCACCAACAGCAGAGGAGTCAAGAGTGTTGGTATGTGAGGTGGAGCAGGCATTGACAGTGTATATGTGGAATGTCATGCGATCTGTCTTAGGATGTTAGCATGTTAATGTAAACTAACAGCAGGCTAAAGATTGATCCCGGGAGCATTTCAGATATAATGGTGCAGGAGCAAGAAGAGAACTACTATTGGTAGTTATTGGCTGTGATTTATAATTAAGAATAGAATCAGGCAAGTGCATTCACACCCAAATAAAAGCAAGGACTGTGAATGCTAGAGATCTGAAATGAGAAAATGAAAGTGCTGGAGAAACTCAACAGGTCTGGCAGCATCTGTAGAGAGAAAACAGAGTTCATGTTTTGAGTCCAGTGACCCTTCTTCAAAACCAGCAATGTCCAACATTCACAGTTCTTTGTTTCATTTTAGTGTTTCCTTAATATGTATGCTCTTCAAGTTGGTTTTGAGAGTAAACCATTGTAACAATTCATTCTGAAATTGAATTCACTGCCTCAGGGTTGTTGTTCTGCGGTTTTACCTTATAGGCTAACATAGCCAAGGTCTGAAGTCTGAAAGTTACTATCTCTGATTCATAACAAGTTATTATATTTCTGTCTTTGATTTCAACTGATTCATTTTTGGTTGGCAGATCAGAATAACCTATATTTATAAGCCCATAACAAATGTCAGTAAACTAAGTCCAATGTTTTGAAGTTTGTATGATCTTGTAACTATAACTTTCGATTTAGGTTACTTTTCTTCAATGTCTTGCAATTTTTCTCAAACCATGAGAATTTAAAGGTGACTACAATTGCTCCCTCTTGTGGTTTAGACTGAATACAATGAACTGTATGCCACCACATTTTCAGCTTTAAACATCCTCCTAGTCTAAAAAACGGAAGTGAAATATCCAGGACATAGCCATCCAATCAAAAAACTTAATTCCCTAAAGTCTAAAGCAATCTCTTTAACTTATGAAATTTTATTATTTAGAATAATGCAATTTTTAAGACACGGAGACAGACAGCTAAACAAATCAGCCTTTCTACTTCTGCACTTTCAACGCAGTGAAATTAAAACCTTCAAAGTACCTCAAAATTGATTCCAGACGCTTCTATCAAACTTTTTGAATAACTGATCCTGACTTTGCAAATAATTAACTTTTGACATCAGTTTGTAGTTTAAAATACTTAGGAATTTATTAACAATACAATAACTTTAGTAGGGCAAAATTAAACAACAAAGTAATGTATTTGGGTTTAAAGCACAGACCAATTACCTTTGTTTTCAGCCCCATTCACACAAAAGACAGACAGACAAACAAACACAGTTAAGGAATAAATAAAAGAAAGTAACAAAACTGGCCAGCTTACTTAACAAGAACAGAAATTGCTCGAAAAGCTCAGAAGGTCTGGTAGCATCTGTGGAGAGAAATCAGAGTTAATGTCTTGTCTGAGTGACCCTTGGATTACTTAAGTAGTTTCCACGATGTGTCATTCCACAGACAAAGATGATGGTTTCTTGGTTGATTTTTTGAAAATGTCGATCATTTCAATTTATTCGGATAAAGCAGTATTACTTACAAGAGAGATAGCAAGAACTGCAGATGCTGGATTCGGAGATAACAAAGTATGGAGCTGGAGGAACACAGCAGGCCAGGCAGCATCAGAAGAGCAGGAAAGTTGACATTTCAGGTCAGGACCCTTCTTCAGAAAAATCTGAAGAAGAAGGGTCCTGACCCGAAACGTTAACTTTCCTGCTCCTCTGATACTGCCTGGCCTGCAGTATTACTTACAATGTGGTTTTCTATAAACTTCCAAGAGCTGTTTTTAGGAAGTTATGCAGGGAGCTTTCAAATCTTCATGCTGTAGCATCAATTCCTATTTTTACAGAAAACACAGTCCAAAACTCAATTCAAACTCTGATCTCTTCCTGACAGACTGATCATCTCCTCCACGAGTCCCAGTAACCATTCAACATCTGCCTTAGCATGAGTTCTTTCTGAGACTTGCTGGAACCAATTCCCAGGTACTGACCTTAGTAACAACCAACTTCCAATATCTGTTTAAACATACTACTCTATCCTGGTGATGAAATGTCTACAGAACCTTTTAACTAGGTATCAACTTGCAATTAAATGCCACATCTGGCCTCACAAATAAACAAAACCCTGTTTGGTCTTTTGTCCTGTTAACACAAAACGTTACCTACTGTCCAAAAGTCACCTTTAGCTCTCAGTTCCCAGATCACAGCTCAAATCAAAATGTATAAAAGAATAAAATACGAATAACAAAATATCAATGAGGGTTCTAACACACACTGCATTACATACAAGGACAAGTGGTATCAACAGAAGGAAGAATCTTAATTATGTCAAGAACCCTGTGCATTGGTTAAAATCCAAACTACGCTGTTATTGTACAAGAAACTATCAGGCTCTATTATTGAAGCCTGTTTTCTTGTATACCTCCAAGTTTCAAAGAGATGCCTGTAGATATTTTTAATCAATCTGTTCAGACATGCTATTACACACCTCTGCAGCAAGTGGGATTTGAACCCAGACCTCCTGGCAAAGAAATGTCCGTATACCTGTGAAATGAACAAGGTCATATGTGTAATTAATTAAATTGGTTTTTGTTCATTTGTGGGATTCTCTAATGGAAGTTAAAGATACTTGAGCTTAAATTATGTGCACCAGAACAGCTGCTTGGCTAATTTAAACACCATAAACCAACTGATAATGGGTGTTAACATATGTCAGTTTAGTTATATTAAGAAAGTTGCACCTGAAAAGTAAGAAGGCAATAAAGATCAAGTTTGAATCGTGAAAGATTTGACTTGGAGGATCAACATATGATAATGACACAGATTTGTGGTGATAGTGATGGTGAAACTCAATGTTGGGCATCATTATCTCCTGAAACCAAATGTGACTTATAGAAATCTAGGCACAGAATTATCCAGAAATCCAAAAGTTGCTGTCAGTGATTTTTCACTACTTCTGCGAATGTACTGTTAAGGCACCACAGACTGAAATTAATGAATATCAAGTGAATTTACAAAGACATTAATTCTGGTTAAGTCTCATGTTAGTATCACTAAAAACGTTTGAAAAGTTACAGTCTGTTGAATGAGGTGTAGCTTCAGTTTAACATTTAGTGTTATAAACTTTGAATCTGAAAAGCTGATTTTATGTAAGTAGAATGCTAATTTTTTAAAATTGGGGTACAAAAATTCAACAATTTTAAATTAATGAAGGCATTTAATGATTGTTTATTTTAAATTCAATCTTAATCCAATATTCATGTATTTCTGTCTTTGGAAATTTTAATTAAAGAAAAGAATATTAAGTGCTTTTAACTTGCTGGCTTGCTGTGTGTGAATATTTTAAAACATTTGGTTACCAATTTGTTTACTGACATCAGTGCTGCTGCACATCAAACGAACCCTTTGAAAGCCAAAAGAACTGCGGATGCTGTAAATCAGGAACAAAAACAGAAGTTGCTGGAAAAGCTCAGCAGGTCTGGCAGCTGGTAGCTACCGTCAGTCCTGAGGAAGGGTCACTGGACTCGAAACGTTAACTCTGATTTTCTCTTCACAGATGCTGCCAGACCTGCAGAGCTTTTCGAGTGAACCCTTTGAATTGGTACTGGATTTAAATTGACATTAGGAAAGGACATCAACCGTGTCACAGAGATTGTTAGATATTTGTGAGCAGTTTCTCCCCAGATTCTGTTATTTTGTTGCTGATTGCAAAATCCAGACCATAAGTTGCTTTAAGTGCTCATGGGGTCTCCTTAAAAAAAAATGACCCAGTCAAAATTCATTACATCAATACAACATGAAGTCAAAGTTCTAGAGAAGCTGAAAAAGCTCAAAAGAAATAAATCCCCAGGGAGTGATGGTATTGTTTCCAAAATATTCAGAGGCACTAATGAGAGGACTTATGAGGAATCAACAGTCATGTGAGATGCTGTACTAATACTTAATTGATACATTAAAAACAGCCTAGTTCGGTGCCCATTTTAAAATCAACGTTAATACGACATTGAGACAATTGGAGAACCTTTAGATTTACTTTCATTCTGCATAATATAATAGAATCTATTTTTACCATAATCTTGAGGATCGACTGTGGGATAGCTTTCTAAATTGTCATCAGTAGGGCCTCAGAATTAAAGGAGATCATTCTCCTTCAAGCAAGTCTTATTCTATATGATCACAAAAAATGAATTCCAAAAGGTGACAAAAGTTTAACGCCAAAAGGTATAGTTAAGCTCCAGAGAGGGTGTGGTACTTGTCTACTTGTTCTGAGG